AAGCTAAAGAAAAATTAAAAAATGAATAAATCTTTATTACAAATGGCACAAAATTATCACTTTTTTTTGTTTAGGCCCGTATTGAGGAGCTGGAGGAGGAAATCGAGGCTGAACGAGCTGCTCGTGCTAAAGTGGAGAAGCAGAGAGCCGATCTCTCCAGGGAACTTGAAGAGATCAGTGAGAGGCTTGAGGAAGCTGGAGGTGCCACTGCTGCCCAGATTGAGATGAACAAGAAGCGTGAAGCAGAATTCCAGAAGCTGCGTCGTGATCTGGAAGAGTCCACCTTGCAGCATGAAGCTACGGCTGCAGCTCTCCGAAAGAAGCAGGCAGACAGTGTGGCTGAGCTCGGAGAACAGATCGACAACCTCCAGCGGGTCAAGCAGAAGCTGGAGAAGGAAAAGAGTGAATACAAGATGGAGATTGATGACTTGTCAAGCAACATGGAGGCTGTGGCTAAAGCAAAGGTAATGTCGTAATTAAATCATAACAAATATATAAAACCCTATTTGCAGACACCTGTACATAACTCTAAATGTCTTTAGGCTAATTTAGAGAAGATGTGCCGCACTCTTGAAGATCAGCTGAGTGAAATCAAGACCAAAAGTGATGAAAATATTCGCCAGTTGAATGACATGAATGCACAACGGGCAAGACTTCAGACTGAAAATGGTAAGACATGGCAGGTGAAACTAAAAGAATTTATTAAAAGTTCAGGTAAAAAAAGCTCTATTCATGATAATACCCATTATCTTGTGTAAAGGTGAATTTAGCCGACAACTGGAAGAGAAAGAAGCACTTGTTTCACAGTTAACTAGAGGAAAACAGGCCTATACACAGCAAATTGAGGAGCTCAAGAGACATGTTGAGGAAGAAGTCAAAGTAAGTTTATACAAAATACAACTTCTGTTTTCTGATAACTTAAACAATTGGAAAGATAAGTAGACTCTTTAAAATACTGTTTCCTTTAAGGCCAAGAATGCTTTGGCCCATGCAGTTCAGTCTGCCCGCCATGACTGTGATCTGCTCAGAGAGCAGTTTGAGGAAGAGCAAGAGGCCAAAGCTGAACTCCAGCGTGGAATGTCTAAGGCCAACAGTGAGGTGGCACAATGGAGAACCAAATATGAGACTGACGCCATCCAGCGTACAGAGGAGCTTGAGGAATCCAAGTAAACAAGCAAAGAAAAGTCTTCACTGTTTCCAATTTATTTATGACATATTAGGGTTCAATGTATTTTATGTTTTAAAGGAAAAAGCTGGCTCAGCGTCTGCAGGATGCTGAAGAATCCATTGAGGCAGTGAACTCCAAGTGTGCATCGCTGGAGAAAACAAAACAGAGACTGCAGGGTGAAGTAGAGGACCTCATGATTGATGTGGAGAGAGCAAATGCATTGGCTGCTAACCTTGACAAGAAGCAGAGAAACTTTGACAAGGTAAGAAAGAAGTGGAACATCTAGATTCCTAAACCCTGAACTGCAGACCATGCTAATAAACAATGCCCACATTATCAGGTCCTCGCAGAGTGGAAGCAGAAGTATGAGGAAGGCCAGGCTGAACTAGAAGGGGCTCAGAAAGAAGCTCGCTCTCTCAGCACTGAGATTTTCAAAATGAAGAACTCTTATGAAGAAGCCCTGGACCAGCTTGAGACCCTGAAGAGGGAGAACAAGAATCTGCAACGTAAACGCCACTTTTATTTACAGAAAGATTTTAATAAGAAACAACAACAAATAAATACAGTTTTTTTTAAACCCATTTAGAGGAGATTTCTGACCTCACTGAGCAGCTTGGAGAGACTGGAAAGAGCATTCATGAGTTAGAGAAAGCCAAGAAGACTGTGGAGTCTGAGAAAGTAGAGATCCAGACTGCACTTGAAGAAGCCGAGGTACTATTTCTTTATCACTTAAAATTATAGAACTGTTTTGAACAACAATAACAGGAGTTTAACACTGTCATATAATCCATCTTAATAGTGCTTCAATACAAATCAGGAAAATGAAATTAGATTGTGTCTGTTTCTCCTGTAGGGCACCCTAGAGCATGAGGAGTCCAAGATTCTGCGTGTGCAGCTGGAGCTGAACCAGGTGAAGAGTGAGATTGACAGGAAGCTTGCTGAGAAGGATGAAGAGATAGAACAGATCAAGAGGAACAGCCAAAGAGTGATGGATTCCATGCAGAGCACTCTGGACTCTGAGATCAGGAGCAGAAATGATGCCCTGAGAGTCAAAAAGAAGATGGAGGGAGATCTGAATGAGATGGAGATCCAGCTGAGTCATGCCAATCGCCAGGCTGCTGAGGCCCAGAAACAGCTCAGGAATGTCCAAGGCCAACTCAAGGTATCTTTGTGAATGAAAAGAAACGTTTGACATTTTAAATGAATGTAAGATAATTAACAAAGAAAGAACATTATCACAGGATGCCCAACTGCACCTTGATGAAGCCATCAGAGGACAAGAAGACATGAAGGAGCAGGTGGCCATGGTGGAGCGCAGGAATAACCTGATGCAAGCAGAGATTGAGGAGCTGAGAGCCGCACTGGAGCAAACAGAGAGAGGCCGCAAAGTGGCAGAGCAGGAGCTGGTGGATGCCAGTGAGCGTGTGGGACTGCTGCACTCACAAGTACAGAAACTCATCACGAATGCATTTAAAAACACATGCAAGGCTATTTGAAAACAGGCAGACACTAAAACTATCTATAACTTGCAGAATACAAGTCTTATTAATACCAAGAAGAAGCTTGAGGCTGATCTGGTCCAAATTCAAGGTGAGGTGGAAGATTCAGTTCAGGAGGCCAGAAACGCAGAGGAGAAGGCCAAGAAGGCCATCACTGATGTGAGTGTTTACATTCTGTTGCTCTATTCTCTCGTAAACTCTTTTACTGAGCAGCCTGTGGTTACAAAGGAAAGCTTCATGGAAGGTTCTTCTACAAACTCTGATCGTTTAAACTTTATTGGCTGATATTTCAGGCTGCCATGATGGCTGAGGAGCTGAAGAAGGAGCAGGACACCAGTGCTCACCTGGAGAGGATGAAGAAGAACCTGGAGGTGACTGTCAAAGACCTGCAGCACCGTCTGGATGAGGCAGAGAATCTGGCCATGAAGGGTGGAAAGAAACAGCTCCAGAAACTGGAGTCCAGGGTAAGGTTGTGCGGCTAAAAACAATTGGTTCTTAGATTTAAAGGCTAGACCAGTTTTGTCAATTACTCTCTACTTTCTCAAAGGTTCGTGAGTTGGAGAGTGAAGTTGAAGCTGAACAGAGACGCGGTGCAGATGCTGTTAAAGGAGTGCGTAAATATGAAAGGAGGGTGAAGGAGCTCACCTACCAGGTAAAGCAGCACAGGAATTTGAAATGTTACACTGCAGTTTGTAATATACATAGTTTAAGGCTACTAACAATATTTACACCGACAGACCGAGGAAGACAAGAAGAACGTGACTCGCCTCCAGATCTGGTGGACAAGCTGCAGCTGAAAGTGAAGGCCTACAAGCGCCAGGCTGAAGAAGCTGTAAGGCTAATATCCAATGCCTCCTGCAGTGTGACGCTTTGATAAAATGACAGATAAAAGTGGATGGATATCTTGTGTAATCCCAACAGGAGGAGCAGGCCAACACTCACCTGTCCAGGTACAGGAAGGTGCAGCATGAGATGGAGGAGGCTCAGGAGCGCGCTGACATCGCCGAGTCCCAGGTCAACAAGCTGAGAGCCAAGAGCCGCGATGTAGGAAAGGTATTGCAATGTTCTTTATAAATGGTGTTCAGGGGTTGGTTATTTTACAGCATAAACACAAATTTTGTCAAGAGGTATTATATTAAAAAAACATTTACCTAATACATATACATCTTTTCTGTCTACTAAAGAGCAAGGATGAAGAATGAAGACAAGACATCTTACCACATCTACAAGAAATATAATATAATATTATATAATGTACTGTGTGTGGTTGTGTAATGTCTCACATGTGCATTAAATGCTCTGTCAAAGCACTGCTTGTTTGTTTTTGTAGCTCTGCTGGTAGTGTATTGAATCTACAATGAGTCAAATGTCATAATAATCAATTCCATATTAACTGAAGTTTTATCTTCAGAGTCAGGTTTATGCCGATGGGCTATATGCAATGCAAGTCCTTTCAGTTGCCAATTAACTTTCATTGACAGGTAACTGACTATTTTCAATTTCAATATATTAATTATTCAATATATAAATAATTGAAATGAACATGACTGAATTAAATATACTGCTCAAAAATAAAGGGAACACTAAAATAACAATATAGATCTGAATTATTGAAATATTCTTATTACACAATTTGCATGGCTGAATGTGCTGACAACAATTCACACAAAAATTATCAATGGAAATCAAATGTATTGTTCCGTTGAGGTCTGGATTTGGAGTCACGTTCAAAATTGAAGTGGAAAAACACTACAGGCTGATTCAACTTTTTTGTAATGTTGTTAAAACAGTCAGAAGTCTAGTAGCATCAATGCCTTCGTCTTGCATGAACTGCTGACACACTCCAGCCACATGAGGTCTAGTACTCTCTTGCAGTGAGAGGAACCCCACTGGCAAAGTTGGGGGGGGTTGTAGACTCTGCCTCGTGCTACCACTAAAGTGAATGCATTCAAAAGTGACCAAAACATCAGCCAGAAAGCACAGGATCTGAGGAGTGGTCTGTGCTCATCACCTCCAGAACCGCTCCTTTATTGGGGTGTCTTGCCAATTTCCTGTAATCCCCACCTGTTGCAACAGCACTTGAAATTGATCGTCGATCAGTGTTGTTTCCTACGTGGGCAGTTTGCTTTCTCAGAAGTGTGACTGAAATGGAGTTATGTTTTGTTGTTGAAGTGTTCCCTTTATTTTCTCAGACATACGCACTTGGCAGCTGGTGCATGTGTGTCCATTTAACCCTCTGGGTCTCCTTGGTCACTTCTCACCAAATAATTTTTGCTTTTAAAGCTTCATCGGAATTGTATGAAACTTGACAACTTTTTCTGATTTTGCAATGTATACATAAACAATTGGGGTCAAGATTCGAGCATAAAAAGTTTGGCAGCTAACCTATGTATCTATGATAAATATTACTTCATCAACATGTATTAATAAAACTAAAGTCTGGCTGTGCCCAAATTAGACAACATGTGATTAAAATAGCCAGGCTTTATTAGCCAACTCCATTCGTACTTCAAAATGAGCGTCACATGCTGTTATCCCAGAACACAAACCATATGAGTGCTGTTAGAATGCAGAGAACAGAGTTGCATTCTTGTGGACAGCACTCCTGACAAATCATTGTGAAAATAGAGATGGCCATGACATGCATTGTTCAAAGGGGAGTCTGCAAATTCGTGCAAGTCTGTCAGATAAAAAATGCTTTAAACTTTTCCATATTTTAGAAAAAGTAAGTTTGTTAATGTTTGAATAATTAATGATTTGCTTTATCCACCATTGACCCAACTGCAATTAAACAAAGTTTTCCATAACCTGACCCACCCGTATATTAAACCTCAGCTCCCTGGATATAACTGACATCTCCACATCCCTGCACAATGGGCTTTGTCAAGAGAGTGACATGATAAGGAAACATAAATCACACAGACTTGATTATCTAAACTTGTGTATGTCATGTTCACCAGCGAACAACCACCAGATGTTGCTGGTAAACATTCACACATAAACATTCACACTCCTTGAACTACATATCTGCCATGTTATAGACTACAACCCAGTCATGCCACACACACACAACCGGTTCCAGATCCACACTGATTGCTCTCTCACAGCTGAAGCCACTCACACAATGATTCTTTGGACTATTTAAACCCCTCTTTTCCACACACATGTTGCCGAGTCTTGTTTACTGTTAGTGACATTACAACGCGTTTCCCTTGTCTACCTTTGCCGTGTTTTGATCCTTGACTTGTTTATTTATTTAATTCTGTTTGCTGCCTGCCTCTGACCATCAGCCTGTTGTTTTGACTTCGACTCTGGATTGCCCTCATACATCTGTTTGCCGGTATTGACCACTGCTTGCCTGACAATTCTAATAAACCTGCACGTGGATCCAAACTTCTGTTGTTAGTGTCACTCCCCGTCGTTACAGTGTAAACCATATAGTACATTCTTATCCTTTAATGGTGTGCTTAATCTGCCATCAATAAGGTGTAACGATTTAAAGTGTTATTGATGATTAATCAAGTTGACAATAATACATAATGCACCAGATTTAAACTTTCATACAAACTACAACAGATTTATAGAGTTCTACACTGTAAATGAGAATAGTATTCCTTACTATCAAAATTCTAGTGTGTTTACTTAATTTTAAGCTAATTGTTGAGTTTACTAGAAATGCATTAGTGTTGCTGACATAGTAAGGTATAAAGTTCCCATAACTAATGTAATATGAGTAAAATTGCTTATAAGGGCTAAGCCATGCTGTTACGCATGCGTACTGGGTGGTGATTTCCCATCCCCCATCCCGAGTCACAACCAACCGCCACCCAGCACCGCCATTGAAGGACAGGATTTCATATTGAGAAGATGTACTGCTGTAAATCAAGGTAAACTTTTCGTTTTAATTACTACTTTGATTTTATTTGTATAGTATCAGTAATCTGTTTATTTCCTGCACTTTGTGAAATTGTTTGCTGTTTTGTGAACTAATTAATAGCCCATGATGTTGTGACTAAACGTTTTGACCACTGCACGTTATTTGCAATACTGTCTACTTTACTAGATAAGCTATTTTTAGCTGCTTAGTCCTTTTTAATAACTATTAATAATTTGTAAAGTTAGTAGTAATTTGTAAAGTGGGCGTTATGCTCTAAAAGAGCGGGCCGCGCCATTTTAAATGATGCACTGAGAGAGCAAGAGCGCGTGCAATGATCCGTTCAAATAGATGTAAAGTTAACATATAACGTTAGCTGTAGGTCTACATTTTTAAAAAAGAAAACGAAACCTATTTATCCGCATTACAAATACAGTAACGTTAGTTATCGCTGAACTTTAGTGGCGCTTTTTGTGACGAAAATATGCGTGTTTTTTTTTTTTAAGATTTACTTTTATGAGATCACCTGCAGGAAGCAGGTGAGGAGATCAGCTGTGATTCGGTCCGGCGTCAGCGAGCGGCTCATGACCAGACCAGTCGTTTTTTTCTCCATGATCGCCGGGGCAGCAGCAGTTTTAACCCGCCGAGGCTTTTAGAACATTATAAAGCAGTTTCAGCTCAAAATGGACCCGTGAGTGTCGTAGGTAATTTAGGATTTCGATGCGATTACGATTCGTGTCACTGTATGAGGCAGATACATATTTACACATGATGCTAAAGTGTGCTTATGCTAACAATCCCTATGAAACTTAAAGTTAAACTTATGAAAATGCGAGAGATATTTAATTAACTCATTTATTTGTTTTATATGCTATTTGTCTTTTCTTTATGCCGTTTTGAAGGTTTATTCCAGTGTTGCCGTTACGTTATTGAGTGTTTTGTATTGCTGTAATGACAAATAAATCTGACCAGACGCGACTGAATATGTGTGATGGATAACGTTAATGATGAAGTAATATAACTCGTACAACCAAGCACAGAAACATCCCATGTTTGCTCAATATCACACAAAGGCATCAACAAGCCTTTGTTATAAGCAAACTTTCTGTAAAGAAACAGGCTTTGCCAAACCTGTTAGTTTGCATTTTTAAAGAAGGTTTCACTAATTTTTAACAATTTAGGGCAAATAAATTTGAACAATTACAAGGTTGTTTAAAATGTAGCACACCATTAGAGTATTGTGAGTGGCATATTTGGTTTGTAATATCATTATACCCTTTATTTATTTTTTATTTCAGACTACCAGTTTGTGAGCTGATATGCAGTGGAAATGTAAGTTTTGCACTTACACATCAAAGAAAACTTTTTGAACAATACCGCACAAGCCATAGAACATATTCATGAATTGTTCTATTAACGTTACCTTGTCTCCATACTGAGTGTCAGGGTAATTTTAAATTGTTTAATGCATTAAAAGTACATTTAACAAAATTCTCAGCAAAGAACTGCATGATCAAGAATAGTCCGAATATTTTGTCCATTTGAATAATCATCTGAGGACTAGTTAGAAATAGGGTTGTTGTGTTGTGATACCATTAATTTATGTTACAATACTATACCAGCTGAAGTATGGTGATACCAAGTAGTATTGCAATACTGTAATTCATAACTTAAATCCATGAAATAAAGAAAAATGTCAGAAATAATATATTGTATATGTTATTACAGGCCTACTTGAATTTAAATAATTCCCTTATTGTTGAAAAAAGTATTTGCACATCTCTTCACCTAAAATGTATTCATTCCAGCAAAAAAAAATACATTAAAATAAAGATACATAAAGAAAAGAGCATTTTTCGAACAAACCTAGGCTATATGAAGTGGTCAAAAATTGTTTCCTGTTGCTATTTTGGGTTTTTCATCTATCATACTTTTTTCACACTTATTATCGGATAAGAATCCAAAGTAATTCAAAATTTCACTTTATGAGTCATTCTTTTTAATAGATTGTCACGGTTGTTGTAGCTATTATATCATATTGACAGGAACAGAAATAAACGAATTCCGATTCAAAATGAACCATCACAAAATATGCAATAGGCTACTATAAAAGGCGCAAATTCTACAGTTTTACAACCTTAGAAGGCTCCATAGACTATTAAAATACAATGATCTGTTGTTGCTGAATCGTGTAAGTATTTTAGTGACTTTTTCACATGCAGCATTATGTATTGTAGGCAGACTGTTAATGACAATACTACCGTTTACAAACTACAGTGGCACCGCCAGTATCTTGGAGCCATAGTATCACGATACTACCATAGTACCAGTAAACCGTGCAACCCTAGTCAGAAAGTTCAGTGTCCTTTTAAAGACATCAATTGAGACAAATATTTATTCCACTTTTAATGCGCATAAAAGTAAGGCACACCAGCAA